ACTAGTGAAATTGTCAAACAATCTGCTACTATGTTGCATACCGGTTCTATAACAAATCCTATCATGCAACCACATTAGCAAAAATAAACAAGTAACCAGTGTCATCAGGATTCATGATGGAACCAGACTAGTGGAACAGACCTCAGGACAAGGCTAACTCGAGTTAAGAATACGTAATGCAAAAAATTACCAAAAGATGAATATGGCAATAGGAAGCAAAGTATGCCTGAACTCAATCCACACTACCATATAACCTAACACAAAAAGGAAACAAACCAAAAAAAACAGTGAAAAAAGAAAATTAGTTTTGACTTCAATTATGGAATACTTGATTCATTTTTTGAGGTTACAAACTTGCAATCCCAATTCTAGTTCACAAATGCAGACCAAGAATTTATTAAAACCATCCAAACCGGGTATACACTTCTTACATGATTCTATACTTCACAAAAATCCACCACAGTTAATCAACATTCGCAATCCAACAGATGTACATCGAATTGAAGAACAAGTGATATATGTCGTTATACAAACCTTCAAATGAGCTGCCGCCTTGTCTTTGTCGGTGAACACTCCAGTTGATTCCACGATGTACTCAGCTCCGGTGTCGGCCCATGGGATTTCCTCAGGGTTTCTAGAATAATCAACAAAATAACATCAACAATTGCCCTATCATTTCACATAAAGAAATAACCAGAGTTCAATACATATATATGTAGGTGCTCATCTAAATAAATAACCAGAACAACGGAGGCATACCTAACGCCGAAAACAGTGACGGGCTTCTCTCCAAAGAGAAGGGTCTTATCGTCCTTAACTTTGAGCTCGTCGTGCTTCCACTGACCATGAACACTGTCATACTTGAACATGTATGTCTGCAACAACCAACAAAATTACCTATTTACCACCAAACACTCCGACCAACATAGATTCACAGTGTATGACAGAGAAAAACAAAAACAACCACCGACCAAAAGAAACAATCATGGCCAATATTGTTCATAAACCCAGAACTACAACCGGGAAATCTACCAATCAGAACCTAATTATGAGATTCGCCGACCAAAAGAAACAATCACGACCAATATTGTTCATAAACCCAGAATTATAACCAGGAAATTTAACAATCAGAACCTAATTATGAGATAGAATAGCATTTAAATGAAATTACAAGGCATAGAAAAGTATCAATACCATGTAATCAACGGAGATGAAGGGATCGTTAACAGCAACAAGTTCAACATCGTCTCTCTTGAGAGCAACTCTAGCCACCAGTCGACCAATTCTCCCAAAACCTTCATTTTTCAATACGCGAATATGTAATCAACACTAGATCAAGCAGAGTAAAATCCTTTCAAATCTGACTAAATAAGAAAACATGCAGAGAAAGTTAGATCTCATTACCGTTGATTCCGATCTTCACTTTGGCTGTCAAAAACCAAAACAAACAAAAAACAAAGAAATCAGGTGAACAAATCACTGATAAAAAATTGTTAAAAAAAAAAAAAAACCCATAAACCAAAAAAAAGGAAATCATAGAAAACGGGGGTAATCAGTACCCATTATTCTGTGTGCCTGGGGAGAGAGAGTGTTTTCACAGACAGTCGCGGAGAGAGGGAGAGAGAGTAAAGTAGTGTAGCGTGGGATCACTGGGATGTGGAATTAATGTTAATAAAACTTCTTTAATATTACACATACCCAAACTTTTTTATATTCTTTTTTTTTAAAGATAAAAATTAATTATTAAAAAAATTAAATTACTTATATTTATGTCTATCTAATTTTATTAGTTAATGACAAATTTCTGAATTTTCAAATAAAATTAAATAAATGCACTAGAGTCTTATTTAATATAAAATTTATTTTAATATAATTTGAATAAGATTACAAAACCCTAACTTTTCATTTTCTTCTCTTTTATGTTTTAGTTTTAATAAATCCTCTTTAATTATGTTTATTGACAATATTAGAAACTATTTTATTTGTATTGATTAGCAATGCTACGAATATATTTAATCTCACATTAAATTACTTATCACAACTTAATTTTTTTACTTTGCTCAACCAATAGTTTATAATTAAATGACTACCATAACTTAAAATAGTCAACTTCTATATTTTTCATAATTTAATAAGTGTTTGTGATACTTTTTAGCTATAGATGTCCACATACCATAAAATATATTTGTACCATTACTATAATGTTGCAAATAAAATTAATCTAAACAATTAATTTTATGCGAAAAGTTCTAAACTTTCAGGATACAAGTTTACAAGAAGGTAATTCATTAAAACCTAAGAGAAAACAAAATAATAAAAACTAATATTCATTCTATAAATATGCAGTGTTATGTCTATTACAAATTATATAATAGGAATATTCAAAAGACTAGATTTATAAGTAGGTGTTTGCTATTACATTTATTTAATTATTTCAAAAACAAAACCACAACTCAAAAAGTCTACTCACAAGGCACGTGTGCACGATCAAGTATAGAAAAAGAGTATATAGATATTTGCTTACATGAAAGATTAATTATTAATTTTAGTAGGGCCCATTTGTTATTTATTTTAACATTATTAATTAGTGATACCACGTCAGCATTATCACGTGATATAACTGTCGTAATGAATATCTTTTCCCTCCAATGGGCGACTAAATACTATTTGTAAACTAAGAGGTCATTTGATTTGTGTTTTTGTTCCGTATGATATGTTTTCGTTTTTAATTTTTAATAAAATAAAAATAAAAATGTGTTTGAATTTGTGTTTTTATTTTATATAAAATACGTTGTTTCGGAAAAAAAAGACCAAAAATAACGAAACAAAAAAAAGATGTCTCGAAAACAAGAATAACCGAAAACATACATACATGCACAGTCTCAATTAATGACATCCCCCGTTCGAATCCATTATCAACAAAAAGAAGGTTTTTTGTGCTTGCAATAAAAATCTCTTTTCCTCTTTCTTTTCTCTTTTCTTGTCACTCTCTTATCTCTTTATCTCTTTCTCTTAGAAAACTCAGACGAAGATGAAGAATGAGTCTTGGCACCTAAAGACTCCTAAACATATTTTCTATTTTCTTTGTTTACCACAAAATAAAACAAAAAGTTATTAAACGCACCCTAAATTTGTTGAATTTTTTTTGGGATAAATTATACTCACACTCCTCACATTTGACAAAATGACACGAAGACCCTAAATTTTTTGTTCATTATGGTATATTAGTTTTAAGTAATGCTACTTAAATCTAATTTAATGTCCTAATTACTCATAACCATTTGATTGACAGCATTGAGTTTCAGTATTCGTTGAGATTCGCTATCAATTCAATAACTGTGATGGATTATCACTATAAATTATGTCACAAATTGAGTATCAATAGTATTATTGATTAGTTTTTGTTTTTGTATTTTTTAACATAATTACTTGTTGTTGAGAAACAAACAAAAAAAATTAAAGAAAAATCTATAATATAAAACATGATAAACTTTAATAAGTTCATTCGACAGTTTTAAATAAACTCAATCAATGGTAACTAATATTTTTTTTTAAATTATTTATATTACACTGTATTTTTAGACACGAATCCCTATCCGATAAAAAACACAATGTGAAATATAAAAAATGCTTGATCTTCACGTAAAGTTTTTTTGGGTAAGTTCACACCACCACCAGAAAATTGCTGAAGCAGTTTGGTAATGGGTAAGGCACGTCAAGTCGTCACAATTACATAGGACACGAAGGCCTTGATGTGCGTGACAGGTTGATAACGTGACAGGTTGATCAAAGGCCCAGTAGGCCGGCCTCATTTTGGATTTAGGATAATAGTAATGGTATATGTCCAAAAAAATGTACACTATAATATACATTAAATTATTTGTTGTAGTTGGATTAATAAGTCTTATTATTGACCATATTAATTTTTGAAGTATTGAATATATTTATATATGATCTCTTAAACAAATAACATTTAAATTACTAATTGTTTTTTGGGCTAATTGTAGTTTGCACCCTGAAAGATTCTCAAATTTTTAATTTATACTCTAAAAGATAAAATTTTTTAATTTGCACCCTGAATGTCACCAAAACGATGCAATGTGCACCAGTCCCAAACGTTTGTTTGATTTACCGTTTGAAAATTCAGGACACAACTTGCACGTGATTTCTTGTAGGGATTGAATGGTAAAAACACATTCCTTTGGCGTCAAATCGAAGTTGGTTTACCTTTATCTTTGTCTTCGTATAAGACTGGTTGGAGAAAGTCAGTTGTGCAAGGGAAGAAGAAGAAGAAAAAGATAACAAACAGAGCAAAAAATGGAAGGGATCTGCCACTATGGTTGAAGACAGCAATGAAGACCTCATGGACAGACCTAAACCCTAGGAGGAGGTTTAGGGTCTTGCGATAATTATCCGGTATAACTTCACATCCCATTAGAAATTTAACAATATTCTTACAATTGATGAACTAAGATGTGCATTCAGACCATTTTTTCTCACCAATTTTTCACACATTATGGATTATAGTTGTTCTATTTCATTTGATTTTTTTTATTTAAAAAAAGTCTTTTATGTAATTTTTTTGCACAGAGTAAACAAATATTTGTATTTTGCACTTGTAGGAAGGTGGTCCGTGTGGTTATTTTGTTTGGGTTGATCCACCTATGTGTATACGAGCACGATAGTTAATACCCGGCTTATTACGTCGTGTAACAAACTTGGAGACACAGAGGAAGGGCAAGATTGTTGTGGGTCTGTTTGGTTGTTTCTTGGCTGCTTATAATCCTAATTTGTTGCTATAAGAATGACCCCTCTGAAGATGGTATTGATGGAGAGCTTCCAATTGGTCACTGAGTAGTGAAGTTGATGAAGATAGATTTAATGGTTGTCTAAGTAGATGGATGTAGTGAAACTTTATGACATAGTTCTGTATTAAGTAGTGAAACTTTAATGGTTGTCTAATGATATTATGTTGTAATGAAGATGGATTGTAATGGATTATGAGTGAATCTCTTTTGTTTGAATTCAAAAGTCCAATTGAATATGCAATGGAAAGAAACATCAATAATAGAAAATGCCCAATAATTCCATTCAATACTAAAAGCAAGTTTCACATCATCATTAATCCAGAAACAGAGCTTGCAAAAAATGGTGACACATGCTTCCTAAAATGAGATCAACCAAAAAAGAATATAACCAATCTCAACAAAAAACGTGTCATCCACAAAAAAAATCAACATTCCACATATGGCTTCTAACGTATTGATGATTCAGCTGATGATGATGTTTTTGGTGGCCTCCATCTTGTTAGTGATCTCTACATTGTGCGTGGTCCAATTGATGTAGTTGAAGATGATGGCCTCAAATTTGTGTGTGGTCCAGTTGGTGCAATTGGCCTCTACATTGTGCGTGGTCCAGCTGGTCCAACTGGTGTAGTTGAAGATAATGTTTCTGGCCTAAGTGGTACACTTGGTGTTGACTGTGTAGCAAATGGTGATGTATCTTTGTTCCTTCTAACCTGATGGAATGCATAAGTGTAAGTATGAAATGCAATAGTGTATTGAAATCAAACATAAAAATAAAATCAATTTCAAACAAAATTACACACAGGTAACTTCACTCTTGGTGTTGCAGATGGTGTTTGTTGCAGGTGATGCTGCTGCTGCAAATGGTGTTGCAGGTGGTGGTGATGCAGTTACTGCCTTCTTGCACTTCCTCTTGTTATGGCCAATTTGACAACAACTTGAACACACAATCTACTTATATTTTCTCTTCAATTTGTTACCATTTGATGGTTCATCTCTTTCTTTTCTCCTAACTTTCTTAAGCTTTTCAGGCATCCTGCTTACAGCATGAGGGATTAAAGGTGAGTAACCTGGTCTAGGCCACATGTCCTTTCCATTAATAGGACTCAACTGGTGACTATAACAATTCAGAAAAGATTCTACTTTGCACCATTCAGCCACTTAGTCTTCTGCTCTTAATCCTAGGTAGCATAGAGCAGATACTACATGCTTACATGGGATTCTAGTTAAATCCCATTTTCTACAACTGCAAGTCCTAACCTCACATTAACAATCCTTTGTTCACCATACATCCCAACTACTTCAAATTTGTCATCCCCATTCCAGGTTGGTATGAACCCAGCTGATTCTACTTTGATGAGTTCCAATCTTTGTTGAATATTAGGACAAATACTCTGGTTTTACTTCTATATAGAATCCCTTTGTACATGTAACCTCTCTATTAACCAAATTCTTATTTTTTCAAGCATAGTAATAATAGGCTTCTCCCTAGCCTCCAGAATACACTCATTAAAGCTCTCACACATATTGTTCTGCAACATGTCACAGTTGGGGAAGGTACTAAAGTATGCTCTAGACCAATTCTTTGGTAGTCTATCAGACAACCAATTATAAGCAGCCACATTAATCCCTTTTAACTCCTCCATAACATTATTGAAATCAACAATTGTTGTTGATTTGGTAGCCCTCCACAACAGATCCTTTAGAACTAATCCCTTATGTTCTGTTTGAAGTTATTGTACAAATGCCTTACAAACCTGTGTTCAGCAGAAAAAGCTTTCCACTGCATCCAACAATCCTTGCAACATTAAAAGTCTAATTAGAACATAAAACATTTAATGCTTATTGCATTATGCCACAAGTGAAATGAAAAATAAAGGATCTGGATACTTGCCTTTTGTTTATCTAACATGAAAGTCCATGCATGTGAATTAACTATTTGAAGATCTTGTTTAATAAGTTGAAGAAACCATGCCCAGGATTTTTTTGTTTCTTTCTCAACTACAACAAATGCAAATGGATACATTTGGTTGTTGGCATCAATTTTCACTGCTGCAAGCAAAATTCCAGCTAGTGGTCCCTTCAGATGACATCCATCTATTCCAATTAATGGCCTACATCCCTCAAGTAATTCCCTCTTCAATGCCCCATAACATACATATAACCTTTTGAACATAAATTGATCTCCTGTTATAGACTTAGTTTTAATAATGCAAGTGGTCCCTATGTTTGTTCTCCTTAACTCTTCACAATAATCCCACAACATATTGAACTGTTCTTTATGAATCCTATTCATCATTGTAATTGCTTTTTGTTTGGTTCCATATACTGAACTGGGATGTAACTTCACTATATGTTCTTTAAGAATTGTTTCTTTTAGTGACTTAATGGGCCAGGTTGGGTTTGATCTAATTCGCAACCCACTTAGTATTGGCATGATTCATTTTAAAATTTATGTTTCAACTATGTCTACCAACGTAAGTTTTTACCTGCATGGTCATCTTTGAACCCAATCTTAAAGCATATATCATCCAATCACAACCTGATTTACAAACTGCCCTCACCCTATACTTCTCATTTTTTGCAAATCGTATTTTTTTTCCCTATTTTATTGCATGTTGTCTCACTGCTGCCCTGAACTCAGCTGAACTTTTAAATAACATCCCTAGCTTAAACTGTGGGTCAACCATATCAGCCTTAGTAGTGAAATGTGGATACTTAACCCTCTCACCCCCCTGTTTCATCCTCATCATATGAGCCACTAAGGCTTTGCAGCTCATCAGACTCACAATCTTCATCTACTAAACCACTGTCATTGTCCATTCCTATTGCCTTAACATTCTGATCCCTTTTCTGTTTGTTACTTTCAACCCTTGTCCCCTTTCCTACAAAGTTAGAATCATCATCAACTACATTCTCATACAATTGGGAATTCTCCATATCATATTCACTATCATAAAAATATTCAGACCCAGAAGACTCATCCTGTGAGCATTCTTCACTGTCAACTTCATCCTTATCAGAAGAACTCTTAGATGCTACCCCATTACCATAAGTTGACTCAGCTTGACTAAGGTTCAACATACAAGTCTTACTGTGTTTCACATATAGATCAACCACTCTGTTACTATTTTCCCACTTCTTAAGTTCCATGATCTGTTGATCATTTTCCAATTCCCCCCACCCTTTACTAGCTTTATGATAGTATTTTGTATTCTCAGAATAATCTACTCCAACATCTTTCAGCATGTTGTTCAACTCTACCAAAGATAATTGGTCAGCATGACACATATCAAAGTGGTTCCATCTCCCACATGTGTACACTTTGTCACCATAACCCTCAAATTTACCACTATGATGCATTTTTATTGTAAAATAATCTGTGTCAGTCTTTGCATAAACAAATACTAACTTATACAAAAAACATTTTAATATTCAACACTTGAATATAAAAATCAACCCACACAAACCACATAGCTTCTTGCTAACAAAACAAATCATATAAAACCAAATAACTCAGGCCCACACCCACACAAATCACATAGCTTCTTGTAGACAAAACAAATCACATAAAACCAAATAACTTAGGCCCACACAAACACATAATATATTATAACTTTGAAAACAATCACATAAAAAAAAAAGAAGAAAAAACAGAAGCACGCCATTAAAACTGGAACCATTCCAAATGGAAACAAACAAATTCTCACCGTAAATTGATGACTCCTGTCCAAGTAGTATATCACAGTTATACTCTCTTACAACCCAAGACATTTGATCGATATCCAAGGTCAACAGCTTCGATTGTGTTTCACAAACAAGGTTAGCAGCTTCAATTGTGTTTCACCCAACACAAGCACCTTCGTTTCTCTCCTTTTTTGAGACTGATAAAGGGAGTAAAGGACATGAACTTTCGTTTCTCTCCTTTTTTGAGACTGAGAAAGGGGGTTTCAGATGAATCGATACCATGTGCTACTCACGTGAGATCAAGGAATGTATTTTTACAATTCAATTCCTGTAAGAATCACATGCAAGTCGTGTGCTGAATTTTCAAACGGTAAATCGAACGGACGTTTGAGATTGGTGCACATTGCATCGTTTTGGTGACATTCAGGGTACAAATTGAAAAATCTTATATTTCAGGGTGTAAATTGAAAATTTGAGAATCTTTCAAGGTGCAAATTGCGATTAGCTCTTTTTTTATCATAAACTTCTCACGCGATTACTTAAATATGGATAAAAAATAATTTGAATAGTTATTGACCAAAATTTGAATAACTCTTAATCAAAAACATATAATATGGGTAGCTTTTGACCAAAATTTAGATAGTTCATTAATAAAACTGTGTAATTTGAGTAACTCTTTAACCAAAATATAGGTAAAAATTTGGTCAAAAATTATCCAAATTATTTTTTATTCGTATTTAGGTATTACGTGACAAGTTTATAATAAAAAATTAAAGCAATTTGGACGTTGCCTGCTTAAGGGACCATATAAAAATATATTTAATACTTTAAGAACTAAAATGATACAATTGAAATACTGATGACCAAAATGAGACAAACTCTATATTTTGAGGATCTCTAGTGTAATTAACTTTAAAATTTTTAGAAATAAATAAATTTTATTATTTATTTTTCCTTTAAAGAAATATATGAAGGAGCGTTTGCACACGACATTTGGGTTTGTAATTATAATAAGTGAGATATGTAGGAAAAAGATATATATAATAACGCAAAAAAATTTATAAAAATGAAAAGTTAAGAATGCTTAATGAAAAATAATATAAATATTTCATAATTAATTATATTATTGTGAATGTACAATGCACTTTATCCCTTTATATGTTTACCATATACGATATCTCGATTTACCTTTTACCAGCCCCGGGGCACCATCATGGCCACCAGCATCATATAGTCATTAAACCCCGCCCCCACCCCAAAAAAAAAAATAAATAAATAAAAACAAAAATCCATCGTCTCAATTTCTCTCTCTCTCTCTCTCTCTTAATCTACATGTATACTTTCACTTTTCTATATCTACACACTCGCAAACAAGGACGTAGTTATTAGTGGGTTACGGTGGGCTAAAGCCCAGACTGAAAAAAAAATTATTAATAGGGTATATGTATTATATATTTATATATTATGTGTGTCCTCTCATTTATATTAAACCCACATTATTTATTCCAAAAAATTTAAAAATTTAATCCATTTAAAACAAAAAAATTTGAGCCCAATATTATCTACACAAACTTATTAAAATCTTCCCAAACCTATTACAAAAACTTTTGACCCAACATTAAAAAAATAAATTTTTTGGCTCAACATTAAAAACAAAATTTTTGGGCCACAATTAAAAAACAAAATTTTTGGGTCAATATTAAAAAAAAAAATTTTGGGCCAACATTAAAAATAATTTTTGGGCTATTAGTGGGTTATGTTTATGAGTTTATATTTGTATTTTATTAGTCGTATAAATATTTAACTTAACCCAAAATAAACAAAAATTCTGACTTTGCCTTGCTGGCAAACCCACGACAATACCATCCGTAAGCAAAAGGCCACCACTTTGGAACCATCTTTTCTTTGGTCACTGATTTTTTTTAGACAGACAAAAGACATTCAGTTAAAAGCACAATAAGCGTATAGATATACATTCTTTTCCTTTTTAACATATTTTTTGATTGATTTATTTGTTTTATTATAGTGCAACGATGGGCTTAATTGAGTCACTCTCCAATACCTAGAGGTATTAAAATATAACACAATCTGTTAATATGACACATAATTAGAGAGTTTGAGTCTCTCTTAAACTACTCGTTTTGTAAACGAGTGAAACCAACACAACACGATTAACAAATGAATTATGTATGAGCGAAATCAACCAAAATAATATGACTTGACTCGTTTATATACCAGTTATACATGATTCACACATTACATGAACCAAATATAACACAATTCGTCAAACCCAATTAATAAATGAATTGAATATAGGTGAAATAATTTTTGACATGAACCCGCTAAGACCTGACACAAATTTGTCTCACTCGACACGATTGACAGGCCTACCCACACCCCCACACACAGAGTAGGGATTAAAATCTTCCTTAATACACTTTTTTTTATTGCATATAATGATAAATCATCTATTATGAATCTATTATGAATAGATGATGTTATAAGTCAAAGGTGTGAGATAGGTGCTTAAGTTGAGAAGCTCAAGGCTATGGAACAGTGATTGTGATAAGAACAATAAGTGAGTGAACAATGAATAGTAGAGCCTAGGGTTTTGTAGTTTGTTATAGGAAGCGTAAAGTAAAAGTATGAGTTAGAGGGCAAAGAAGAATACAAAGAATTCAGTGGTTCACTAGCGGAAGAGATTGATTAATCCACTATAATGAAGTCTCTTGTTCTAAGGAGATTTTTTATTGCTTGGGGAAAAAAATAGAGGTTACAACTGTTCCGATTACCCTATTTTGTATAAGGGATTGCCTCATGTATTTATACCTATAAGTGGGGTGGTCCTTACGTCATCCTCATATGGTCCCCTAGTTTATTAGGATTTTATAAGGGAAATATTTGGCCGTTAGAGGTTATATTTCTTAAGTGTGATGTGGTTTTCTAGAACATATTGAAGTGGCATCGTGATTTATCTCCAAGCTTAGATACTCAATGATCTTTCATGCCTGTGAGAGGTCACACTACTTGGAATGATCTCTTGTTCTTTTGGACAACTTGTGAATAAAAGAGTTCGGTCTATACTCTTGACTTGAGCTGAAAATACTAAACTTCCTCATGTGATGATATGAATGACCTAGTCACCCTAACTTGAGGTCATACTTGGACGACTTGGGACACCTTTGCCTAAGGTCAAATATGCAACTGGAGGATGGGGTCAAACCTTGTTATTGAGCCTTGCCGCATACGAGATATTGAGATAATCTTGTACTTATTTTTGGTATCATCATGAATTAAAATTAAATTTATAATGGGTCATCTACTAATATATGAATTATTAATGGGTCGTATTTGGTCAAAAAAAAAAAATTATTAAAGGGTCGTAAACTCTTAATTTTCAGCTAAGTTTATTGCTAAAATTATGGGTTTTCAAATTTTCGACCAGCCGCAAGTTCTTACCATACCCGATCCTACCTTACCCTACCTTACTGAACGGCTAGCCGCAAAAATCGGATAGGAATGCATAAGAGTTTTTGGTTTTGAGACAATTTTCGAATAGGAATGCGGAATAGTCATCCATTTCTGCATTCCTACCCTACCCACAATATATATATATATTTGTGTAACAATTATGGTGGATTGATGTTCATATTTTTTTGTGTTTTATTATAATTCTTGTTATAGTTGTTTTAGATTTTAGTGTTAATTGATTTATTATGTTGTTAAATTGGTGTATGTTATTTAATTAAATTGTTAAAATGATCCAAAAATTAATTGTTACAAAAATATTTACTCGACTTTCTACCCGATTAATGGGTAGGAATACCACACCTGTCGAGTAGGGTAGGCGAAGAAAAAACTCTTTCGCAAAGTATCAGATAAAAAGACGAAAGAACATATTTCCTACCCGTAGGGTAGCGCGAACAATCCTAGCTAAAATATATTGGTGCATAAGTAGCAGTTGGAGTGGGCCTGACCTGGCCTGGTCGGTTCAGATATTGGATCCACTGTACAAAGATCACCAAAAAACACCATTTACTTCTGTTCCGTATTAGGGGGTTTGTTCCCTATTTCAACATTTGACATGGGTCTCATTTTTGTATTAAAAAATTTATTTACTAATGAGAAATTGACTATTGTAAAATAAAAAATTTAACATTGTCAATTGTATTATATATTTTTTAAAATTAATATCACAAATAAATAAAAATAAGATCTATACAATGTCGTAACCTTATCCTGTGTTATTTCTTGTAGATTCTGACATGAGTATAATTCCAACCCACTTAAGGGTGTCAGCTCTGACCTATTAATATGAATCCGATATAAATCTGACACGAACGAATATAAAATTGATATAATTATTAAATATGTATAATAAATAATCTAAACTAATGTTTGATGTTCAAAACACATTAAATAATTTTTTTTCGTGAATACGATACGAATAATAATGACACAACACAAATAATACGACATGTGAGTCACACGAACACGATACGATTGACACCTCTAAACCCACCCCGAACCATCTTTTTCTCAATTATTGCTTGGACTTAACTATGTTATCGACAAAAAAATTTGGAAGCCGTGTTTCTAAAATTTATTATTTTAATAGATTTTTGTTTATATTTTTGTGGGATTTTTTATAGCAAAAAAAAATTATTATTTTAATGAATATTTTTATCACTGTTGTTATAATAATATTTTTATAACTTTTCTTGTTGTGGTAAGTATTTTTATCACTTTTTTCGTATTATAACAATGACAAAAGTATTTTTATAATAAAATAACTTACAATTCAAATTTCAAAAGATAAACAAAATAACTTTTACTATTCGCGGTTGAGATTGCTTTAAATTTTATTTTAAAGTTAATCTAACGGCTAATATTAATATTTCAAATTTAATAGAAAAAATAGGCCCCTAAAAATGTGTTTGAAATATTTTTTTAAAAGTGTTTTATAGGAATTGTTTCTCATAAGTACTTTTAAAAAAAAAAATATTGTTTTAAACCGTTCCACCTCTCTCCACCACCACCACAATCGTCGTCGCCTCTGCCACCACCGCCGCTTCCATCACCGTTGCCATTACCGTCGCCGCCACCACCGCCACCTCTACTTCCACTACCACTGTGGTCGCCGCTGTCACCAACG